TTTTATTCCCACCTAAAGCAGATATAATACCCTGGAAGTTTACAGTTGAATAGAGATGAAGAAAATGAAGCTCAACGAGTTCAAATTACATGCCTGAGGTCAAAAAATGTAGTTTGTGGCACAGCATGGCCTAAAATCCAGTTCAAATGGGTACAGTTCTCTTTGTACTGTACCACTCTGCTTGCAATCAAGCTGGTTAACACACTGAAATAAAATTAACTTCCAAAATAATCAACTATGCCTTATAAGGAGAAAAATGTTTGGCATCTGCCTGACGCATCTCTAGAACCCACTACATTCCAGGATGAAGTTAAGGACAGAGAGAACACATAGCCAAGGAAGTAATTATTAAGGAAAGGGAGAGGAGGGGAGAATTTACACATAGAGTCTCCTGGATCTTCTCGGAGGAAATGTGTGCTTTTCACATTTTTTCAGTTTTATTTGCAGGTCAACTTATCTCTCTCAAACCTTACACAGTTCTAAAAGCAGACTTTGGAAATATGTCTATATTGATAATTATGCATGTAACTACATGCATATGTCTTCAATTTTATTCAACATAAAAATTATTTTTTTATTGTTGTTCAATTACAGTTGTCCCCAAAGACAACAGGGGGAGAAGGGGACAACTGTATGTCTTCAATTTAAAATAACATTATATAACCTTTAAGTGAAACATAAAATTTGAATTAAAAAAAGAATAGAAGACATGATTTATACTTCTTTGTGTGCCCAGCTTTTGTAAAATGCTTTTGTAAACTGCACATAGTAGGTGTGCAGTATGGTAATGATGTTAAAAGTATAAGTATATACAATATAAGACTTCCAGTTAGATTTCTTTGCCCCCCAAAATGACCCTGTATTTAGGTCTCCTATTAGTTTATTTTATTGGGATAAGTTTATGCTCCCCCCACCCCTAAACTGTCAGGTGACATTTGGCAATGTCTGGAGATGTGTTTGGTTGTCACAATTTGGGGGGAGACAGTACTATGGGCATCTAGTAGGTAAAGGCCAGGGATACTCCTAAACATTCTACAATGTACGGAACAGATTTCACAGCAAAGAATTACCCAGCCCCAAATGTCAGTAGTGCCAAGGTTGGGAGACAATTGTCTATTTTCGAAGTAGAAAATAAATGAACAGCAACCTTTCTATTTCTCCAGTTTTTGAAACATAGGTAAGACATAAATCAAAATAGTACACCAAAAAGTTACACCAAGAAAAACAATTTTGGCAATCTACTGTTAAGATAAACAATGATTTAATGAGATAATTGACAGGATTAGAAGACTTCATTAAAAGCTGGAGGAAAAATACAAATTTAAACACATATGTACTTAAGTGAACAATGGAAAGCCTTCACAAAAGGGACTGTTCGCATCTTTACTACATCTGAAACTGAGATTATTCAAAATTCATAATGTGAAACATTCTGCTGATAAGACATTTTAAGACCACCACTGTTCTTCTAACTCAGACATGGAACTCTCACTTCAGACTGTTCCTTTATTTCTTATCTCACTTAAGACTCATCTTTTGGACCAGCACGCAAATGAAAAAAATGCATATTTCTTGTTTGCCAATACAGTCATCGAAATAAACTGCTTTCACTATTAGCCCATTATTTTTATGTCTGCCCATCTTTCCCATGTCTAGGTTTACCTGGAATGTCCAATATTTAAGCCTGGATTCCTTACTATGGCTCTAGGAATCATTTCTTCAGTCCTGCATTGCTCTCTTTAACTTCTATCATGGAAAGAAACTGTAGTAAACCTATACTAACAGCCTAATAATGTCTTTAAAATTAACAAGGAATTTAAAAAAATGAAGAAAAAGAAATGCATCTGATTTCATCCTATGAAGCCAACATTACCCCAAAACTAAGACCAGAAAAAGACATTGCAAATAAATAAATAAATATATATATATATAAAATCACAGGCAAATACCCTTGATGAACATAGATGCAAAAATTCTCAAAAAATATTAGCAAACCAGATTCAACAATACATTAAAAGGTTTATACACCATGACCAAGTGGGATTCATCTCTGAAATGCAAGGATGGTTCAACACTGTAAATCAATTGGCATGATACATCATATTAACAAAATAAAGAATAAAAACCACATGATAATCTCAATAGAGAAAAAGGCATTTGGTAAAATTCAACATCCTTTTATGATAAAAACTCTCAAAATATTTGGTTTAGAAAAGAATATCTCAATATAATAAAGGCCATATATGACAAACCCACAGCTAATATTATACTTCATGAAGAAAAAGTGAAGTATTTCTGCTAAGCTAAAGAACAAAGCCAGGATGCCCACTATCACCATTTCTACTTAACACAGTATTAGAAGTACTAGCCACAGCAATCAGACAAGAAAGTGAAGTAAGGTCATCTAAATCAGAAAGAAATAAGTAAAACTCATTATTTGCAGGTGATAAGATAATATATAAGTATATAGCAAAACCCAAAGACTCCACTATAAAACTAATACAACCCATAATGAATTCAGTAAATTTGGAGAATACAGAATCAATACACAGAAATTTGTTGCATACCTATATACCAGTAACAAATAATCAGTAGGAGAAATTAAGAAAACTATCACATTTACATTGTGATAAAAAGCATAAAGTATCGAGGAAGAGGTAAAAGACCTGTACTCCGAAAATGATAAGATATTGAAAATGAAACAAATAAATGGAAGAATATACCTTGCTCATGGATTGAAAGGATTACTATCATTAAAATATCCTCCCTACTTAAAATAATAAACATAGTCAATGTAATCCCTATCAAAATACCAATGCCATTTTTCTCAAAATTAGAACAACTAGTTTTAAAATTTATATAAAATGAAAATAGACCTAAAACAGCCAAAGAAATCTTGAGAAAGGACAAAATAGGAGTCAGCACACTTCTTGACTTCAAACTATGCTACAAAGCTGCAATAATCAAAATACCATAGTACAGGCATAAAACTGATACAGAGATCAATGCATAGAATAAGGAGCCCAGAAATAAATCCTTACTTATATCATCAATTAATCTATAACAAAGAAGACAAGGACATATATACAACAGGGTAAAGACAGTCACTTCAATAAAGCGGTATTGGGAAAACTGGACAAATACAATAAAAAATATAAAACTGGACCACTTTCTTATACTATGTAGAAAGATAAACTCAAAATAAGTAAATAATGAAATGTAAGACCTAAAACCATAAAACTCCTCGAAGAAAACATAGGCAGTTAACTCTATAAGAAAGTTCTTAGAAATATATTTTTGGATATGTCTCCTGAGCCAAGGTAACAAAAGAAAAAATAAACAGATAGGACCACATAAAACTAAAAAGTTTTTACACAGCAAAGGAAAACATCAACAAAACAAGAAGACAACCTACTGAATGGGAGAAGATATACCAACTGATACATCCGATAAGGGGTTAATATCTGAGAGACTGGGTTGGCCAAAAAGTTCATTTAGTTTTCCATAAAATAAAAGACATATTTTTTATTTTCACCATTATTTTTATTGATTTGGATATTTTGAGTGTGTTGGCTATCTTCCATGTGTTACAACACTGATTATTCTCAATTTGATCACTATCAACTTCAACAAGTCTACCCTACCATGGGGCATTGTCCAATGAGAAATCTTCAGCACAGAACTTTGCAAATTGTTTTTGATACATTTGATCAGTCACAGCACCTTCTCCATATACTGCACACATCTTTATTTTTTTTTTGCACTTCAGTTGCATTTTTATGTTTCTTGAAATAATAAATCACAATAAGCCAGAAATGTTGCTTATTTTCTTCCATCTTCAATATTAAAATGGCTACACAAAAATTACCAATACAATATAACAAAATTGTTTCAAATGACATTAAAGACAACAAAGTGTTACTAGAGCCATCTTATGAGAAAAAACCCAACGAACTTTTTGGCCAACCCAATATAAGAACTTATATAACTTAACACTCCCCAAAGCAAAAATCCAATTTACAAAAAGGGCAAAAAATCTGAATAGACACTTCTCCAAACAGGACATACATATAAAAAGATGCTCAACATCACTAATCATCAGGGAAATGCACATTCAAATCACAATGAACTATCACCTTACGTCTGTCAGAATGACTCTCATCAATAAACCAACAAATAACAAGTGTTGGCAATAATGTGGAGAAAAGGTAACTCTCATGCACTGTTAGTGGGTATTTATCCAAAGAAAACATAAAATGCTAATTCATAAGACATATGTACCCCTATGTTCACTGTAGCACTGGTATTATACTAGCCAAGGTATAGAAGCAAGCTGGACGTGTGTGCACGCGCGCGCATGTGCGCGCGCACACGCACACACACAATGGAATATTATGTAGCCAAAAATAAATGAACCTTTGTTATTTGCAACATCAAACATGGATTGACCTATAGTGTATTATGCTAAGTGAAATAAGTCAGACAGAGAAGGACAAATACCATATATTTCACTTATATGTGTAATCTAAAAACAAAACAAAAGAGAAACAGAACCATAAACATAGAGTAAGCTGATAGTTGTCAAAAAAGAGGGAGAGTAGGGAGATAAGAATTAAAAAACAATGCAATTAAAAAAATAGATGAACAAGTAAAAGCAAGAAGAGAGAGCTGCTGGGTTTTCTTTGCATTTTGTCATAGTTTCCCTACATAGTATCTAGCTGATGTGGTTGTAGTTGCTATGTTTTATTTTCTTGTTCATTTTCCCCAGTGACTGATCATACTGGATACTTTGGTTGTCTGGCAGACATTTAAATAAAAACTGCTTTCTTTAAGGGGACACATTAGTTCTTTTATGTAATCAAGTGACAAAAAGCATATAAACCTCAGGAGATTCCTTGAACATTCCACAGTAACTAATCTGTTGAATATTTTGTGTGTTGAATTAAACATGTCACTACTGAGACCCTCACACATTGGTTAACAACTTTCTAAATATTTACCAAGATCTTTAATAAGTGAGAGTGCTTCCCATGATATAAAGGCTCCACCACCATCATCCATGGCACCCTGCCCAACGTCCCAGCTGTCCAGATGTCCACTGACCAGTACAACCTAGGACAAATAATAAAAAGAGACAAAAATAAGACTAAGCAGAAATGACATCATAAAAGAGGAAGATTTATGAGCATTCAAATACAGAAATGAAACTTCTATATTTTTTCTATTCTTATGCCTTAATAGATCTGTGTCATTACTAGTGGAAAACTTAGAATAGAGGTCTTACCCAAAAGTATGTAAGGTCATCCTAATAGTAATAAAAGTACTCACCTTATACTGCTCTTTATCAATATGATTTTGAATACTAAGGAAAATGGCGTATTATTGGCAGATGTTTGACAACTTTATTATATGACATAAAAATGGAGCTCAAAACTTCAACCTTATTCTCAACTGTCCCAAATTCTAGCAGACATATGATAAATAGGTATTAAATTGAATTCAAATGAAAAAGTAAAAACAAAAATTTATTTTAAAAAATGATTGTGCTTTGTATATTTTAAATCACTCTGGTGTTGAACAAATAAATTGTTGAAGCTACAAACTAAATTCTAATGAACAGAAACACTTTTAAGAAAGATTGAATGTACATTAGTGTGAAATAATGTATAGGCTATGTTATGAGTTTTAAATCATTGTAGGCTTAATTTTTTGAGAACCATTAGTAATTCTCTAGAGGAAAAAAACTCAATGGAACTACATTTTATGGACACATTTTAAAGAAGCTTAAAAACTAAGTAAAATAATGCTGGGTTAGGATATCCACATGGGAAAAAGTATCTTTGTCGTTGGGCTATTATCCAAAATAAGCTAATGTTTCCCAATACCTACACTATGTCATGAGCTATGCTTGCCTACAAGAACTGAAAAGGATTCCCAACTGCAAGATGAGGGAGGGCTGAGTACAAAGATCAAGGTGCCAAGTGCAAAGACCAGGGTGGTGATGGGGAATCATGTGCAGAAAGGTCTGAGTGCAACAGAAGAATAGGCATGTGTGCCTAAGAGAATGTAATCACTCCACACCACAGTCTATAAATACAGAAGCTCCTTGCCAGCTGGGAAGGAGGTGCTGTTAGAGTAGGATCGCACCCTCTTCTATTCCTTGATCAAAGAATAAAGTTTCTGCACTGTTTTAACGAACTCAGTCCAATTCTATTGGCATGAATGGCACTGGGCAGAAGGACCTTTGTTTGAGTCCCCAACCTGAAAGGGTCGGTAACATCTTGATCTCTATATCATACTACATATGAACACTAAGTTAGATGAATTATAAACCTACACAAAGGTGTTAGAGGAAGCATAGAACTACTTTGTCAGCTTGGAGTAGAAAAAGATTTCTTAAACTGGACACACAAAAGTAGAACCCATAAAAGAAGGAATGATAAATTGGACTTTTGAGATATTAGGAATACTTGTTTATCAAAAGATCCCATTGCAAGAGTGCAAAGACAGCCCACAGAAGAGGAGAAAATATTTCTAATACACATATGAAACAAAGGACACATATCCAGTATGGAGAATTCCTAATAAACAGTAACAAAAACAAAGTCAACTGATAGAAAAATGGACAAAATACTTAGACAATTCACAAACATAAATATAAAAATTACAAATAATCATATGAAAAGTGCTCATATTCACTATCATCAAAGAAATTTAAATTAAATCATGCTTAATACATACCAACTGAAATCACTATAAAAGAAAAAGGCAGAAAGTGCCAAATACTGGGGAAGAGGTGAAGCAACTGGAACTCTCATTCATTGCTGGTGTGAGTACAAGTACACAACCACTCTGAAAAACTGGCATATCTACTAACTCTGAACATATGCACACTCTATGACCCAGAAATTCCACTCCTATCTATATATCCAACAGAAATGTTATGTGTACATATAGTTTCCCCAAAATAAATGGACTAGAATATTCCTAATAGCCTCCATCTCCTTCTCAAAAAGGAAACTATTAACAGAAGAATGAGCTAATTGTGTTGTATCAATCAATGCAACATTGCACAGCAGTAAGAATGAACAAACCAATACATGATAAATGTACATGAATGTCATAAACGTAATGAAGAATGAAAGAAGCCAACAAAATAATATATCATGTATAATTCCATTTGTACAAAATATAAAAACAAGCAAAATAGGAGAGTGGTCCCCTGTGGCAAGGAGGCTTAGTGACAGAAAGGAACATAAGGAGAGTTCTGAGATGCTGGGTGTGTTATGGTTCCTGAGCTAGAGACCAGTGACATGGTGTGCTCAGTTTGTAAAAGTTTGTCTTATTATACACTTAGGAGTTGTGTACTTTTCTCTTAGAATATTACACTTCAATATAAAGTTAAAAAAATAAACAAGTTCATCAGATTAATGTCTACATACAGGATGTAGTAAGTAATCAAAGTTAAACAAATCTTCTTGATGATTAATGAAACACCCACGACTTTGGAAAAGTAGGGTTTTGGGTTGAAGTATCAGGGCAACCCCTTGCATTGCATGCTTCCCCAAGCAGCTGCACGGTCTCCCATCGACTCTGTGTACACAGACTGACCCAGCCTACTATGACTTCACTGTAGTCACAAACAAGCACAATATCCAGACCAACAAATGGCCATGTAATGAACCCAAATGGATTGTTTCTAAGGAAAAAAAAAATTGTAATAGCCGGAAACTCTGATTCAGAAAGTGGTGTAATCTCATGTGGAATGAACTTTAGTCAATATTCACACCGCCCTCAGAACCATTTTCCCAGGGAAATTAAAGTTCCAGTGGATAGAAAGTGTTAAAATGTTTTTTAATAAACTTTTTCTCAGATAATACATGAGTATTTAAATCAAGGCAGCTACTATTTTATCCTTCAGATTTCCTTCAGAATGACTGAGGTTGTTTTAAAGCCATATTTCTTCATGTTTTTGGAAATGTCTCCATTCTCCGATCTAGAATTGTTATTTCAATTAATAGTCAAAAGATGGGAAATGGTTTTGAATAATAGGAAATTAAGTTATATCCCATAATACAAAGTCTTTGGCACAGGACTGTAGAAGACTGATCACAAACCATTTGAATTATAAGAGCTTATTTTAATATATTTTTTTTAAATCAGAAAACATTGGGAAACACCATAAGATAGCAATTGTAATTTTAATATTGATTGATTAAAAAAGTAAGTAGTGACAATAAGCTACTTCTAATTTAGTGGACTTTTTGATGAACTTGACTTTCTCTAACCATAAGTACAGTTTCTGCATACACTTAGAAATAGTAGTGCATGAGGTCTCATTCAACATGGTGTCTGGCTAGCACGCCTTAATGCGGTCCCACAAAGAATAACCCAACAAAACATACAGATTCACCATGCTTTATGTCAGGGTCAGGCAGAAATGAACATTAACTTATAATACATTTGTATCTGACTTAAACATTCAAAAATCAAATGACTACCCAGAGATATTGTAAACCCCAGTTCATGAAAAAGAACAACCTGATAAAAGACAGGCAAATGCACAGTCCCTTCACTGCCTGTCTTTCCAGGTGTATATATAGCACCCCTATAGCAATAACATGGCCTAGAAGCTACAGAGAAATGGGGCATCCACTCTTCTACCTGCCTCAGGCGGTGCTGGGAGGCAGGCAGAGCGTTGACCAATCCCATACCCTCCAACTTCCTTTCTACCAGCATCTCTTCCAAATGCAATAGAGAATTAACAATTATTAAAACAACAGCAACAGTAATAGCAGCCACAACAAAACAATAACTTGCAAGGCAGAATGGGAGCCATGCTGCTCTGAAGTGTCAAGTTTGTAATTTGTGAGGCACATGGTAGCCCTGACTGTCAAAGAGCCAGCCTGGGGAGACGCAGGGAGAATGTAGGGCAGTAGAGCAGAAATGCAGAGGATGGAGGCTGTTGGGGTGAAGGGCTACCCTAGCGGCGACATACAGTCACCCGCAGGCCAGCTGTGGGCAGGAGAGGAGACAGACCAAATCAAGGGTAGGGAGAGCAGCTCCAAGGACAAGCCCCTCAGTTCTTTGTTAGTGGTGCTTACAGTGCTACGGAGTCCACATAGATTTGTCTAATTAAAAGATAAATTAGAGCATAATCAAAATGGGACATATGAAAAGTATGGCAGAGCAAGGAAGAAAGAACAGCCCCACAGGACATATGTTTTTATGAAAGCAAGCTAATGCAAGACCCTGGAGAAAATTTCCTGATCTTTGGCATTCATCAATTCATTTAATCAACAATTTTTACTGAGTTTTTACTATGTGCTAGAGATACAGAAATGGACAGAACAAGCAAATATTTTACCTCAATGGAATTTACATTCTGATGAGGGAGATGGACAATAAATAAATGCAGTATAATGATAGTTTTAAGTGGTAGTTAAAAAAAAAAGTCAGAGAAAGAGAATAGCGGTGGCAGAGAAGGAAAAAAAAAAAACCAGTCTGCTTTCTCTTAAGTAGCCACAAAAGAATTCTGTCTCCATTCTAACAGTGAGAGAAACCTGATAATCTATAAAATCATGATTTTCATTAGACCTACTAGAGAGCTGAGATTGTAATTCAGCTGGAGAAACTGAATTCCAGAAGATAACAAGTTCATCCAAGGAGAGATGGGGCACATCCAAGGAGAGGAGTTTGCCTTAACAGGGATGGGGTGCTGGGGGTGGCATGAGGGGAGAGGTAAGAGTCATAAAAACAGGAACAAGTAGACAACTAAAATGTTAACAAATTCTTAAAGGGTGAATGCGGGTTCACATAAGTTTAGAAACCCTGGGAACCTCCCACATAGGGCACTAGGTACCTGTTTCCCAGGTCTTTCCCACAAGTCTCCTCAGGCGCTCACAAGAAACACTGGGGACAGGGAAGAAGCTTCGGGGAACCGCCTTGGGGACGCAGATGATGACAGGATGTTGTTGGGAGGGAGGCAGCAAACGTACCTGCTTCCAGGACCCTTCTCTCTGAAGGAGAGACAGAAAGTTGTCCTGCCAGGGAGCCCCAGGCACAGAGGAAGAGGTAGGGAATTGCATCCCCACCCTGCACTGACCCTAGGA